CCTTTTCGTTTTTTTGTCACATCTTTCTACTTTTCTCTTTCTTTATTGCTGTGGGTTATTTATAGAAATAACTGCAGTTCCTCTTTTTTTTTTCCTTCCATCCGACGGGTTCTCCTACCTTCTTTTTTTTTCTCACAGCTTTCCTTTGCCTTTTCGTTTTTTTGTCTATTTCTCGATTTATGCGTGTCATCCTTGCGCAGCGGCCATGCTAATCTTCTCTGTATCGTTCCAATTTTAACGGATGTCCCAAAGGACTTTTCGTTTTTTTGTCCCATCTTTCTTCTTCTTCTTCTTCTTCTTCTTCTTCTTGGGTGGTGCCGTAAGGCGGATCTGGGGAGAAGCCCCCTGAGGAGTGCCAGGTGCGCAGCCTGATTAGCCGAAACGCGTCGGGGAAATTGCGCGTTTTCAACTGAGAACTGTACATGCAGAGAAGTATTGAAATATCTTGTCGATGCGTGTGCAAGAAGCAGTCTATGGCCACTGTTTTTCGCTATTCTTCTTCTTCTTCTTCTTTCTTCTGAAGGGAGGTAAGCTCGGTGGGCCGAAAGGCTGGGGTATGTGGTTAGCCCCCTGAGAATGATCGGAGCGCAGCCGATCGAAACGCGTCGGGGAATGTGCGCGTGAGCTGAGATTAGTATGCGCGGCTATGTAATGAAGATTATCTAAGCGTGTACGAAAGGCAGTTGGCCACTGTTTCCACTATTTCCACTATTCTTCTTCTTCTTCTTCTTTTGTTGTTGCAAAAAGCATCATCATCATATATTGCGAAGGTGATCAATTCACACATCATCGATAATGTCATTAGCACAGCGACCAAGCACAGTCAGGTCCTAACACATCAAAAAAACACTGAATCAGCAAGAATCGATGAAACGGCTAACAACACACGAGCCACTCACACGTAGTACGATTTCTACGGTGGTTACAACGATGATCGATTCACACAACATCGATATTGTCGTTAGCACAGCGACCAAGCACAGTCACGTCCTAACACATCAAAAAAACACTGAATCAGCAAGAATCGATGAAATCGATGAGACGGCTGACAACACAACACACGAGGCCTGAATTGAGCCCGGGGACCTCAGAATTCACCCCGGAGTTATCCTGGGTTCGATCCGGAGTTGTTTTTTGTTACCCAGTGTTTTTTTTTTTTTTTTTCAAGGAAGGGGCCCTGCCTGAGGACGTCATATATTAAGCTTGCAAACTTGAGGCCGGGAATCCCTCAACAAACAACTCACAGTCTGAAAGACCGGTCTCAACGCACGAAAACCAGCAAAAAGATGTAGGGACAGAGAATGGCCAATCCAACTCTGGACCGCTGCCCTAGATCATTTTCCTGATGAACCTGGCAGGCATGCAAGGTCCAAGTGCAGATACTAGGCAGCAGGAGGCAGATACTAGGCAGCAGGAGGCACGTAGGAGGATGTGGAACTAATTTCGAGCGGGAAGAAAGAGCGAATAGGTGCAATTTTTTTTTTTTTTTTAAATAGGTGCAATTTGAATAGAGCAAGAGACAATATAATATTGAATTTACCTGGGCTGGTTAGTCCGATGATAATACCTCAAGGTCATCGCCCTTT